TACTGCTGCTGCTACTGCTACTACTTATTCTTCTTCTTCTTCTTCCGACCCTCCGTTGCGTGAAAGCTTTGGAGTAGGTGTTTTCGGCTTCATAAATTATGAAAAGGGTTGCCTAGGGAAGATCCTTTATCTTGGCATCTACGGTCAATATGCGTGGTCCGTGTTTTTGAAACTCCCACATGTGCCTTACCATGAGACACATTGCAGAGAGGAGAATATTCAGCCGAACACCGTGACCTACAGCTGCGTCGTCAAGGCGTGTGGCCGTGCCTCCTGTTTGCAGTCGGTTTTTCATCGGTCGTCATGAAATACCTGTTCGGCCCGACCCGCTCACAGAACACGAGGAGTCAAAGGAGCCCGATCTGAAGACGATGTCGGTTGCTTTTTTATCCTGTGGTTCCATGTTCTGGAAGATTCGAGCTTTCTTCCAGGCGAAAATGGAAAGGGGAAGTCGCGACTGGAATTCAGTAGCCATTCGTGTGCCTACAGAGTGCGAACAGCTCCCGAACAGAAGTCTTGATTGTGACATCTTAGGCGCAGGAGCTTGACCGAGCCTTTATGTTCCTGCGCTGCTGGGCCTTCAACATGGGAATGATACACTTCCGGAGCAGGAACTGCCTAAGGAAATGCTTCATAGAAAAGGTGCCCCAAACCCTACAGTAGCCCCCCGGGTTCCAAAGCCGGAGCCCGAGCCCGAAGCCCCACGGTTTCTGGAAGTTGACATTTCGGGCTTCGGGGAGTTACTTGTTCGACAGCTGCTGCGTTGCTGGGAAATTGCTGAGCCTCAAAAAGGGGCTTGCGACCGAGGGTTCCGGATTTTGGGTTTAGGTGTTGCTTCAAAGTGCTGAAAGTCTCAATGACAACATCGCTGATCAGCGGGCGCTGTTTGTATGCAGTAGACCTGCTGCCGCTGCCGTGCTGCTCAATAGCTGTGCCACAGCAGAAGCAGGAACGGCAGCACCAACGGCAGCGACGACGACGCAGCAGTCTCAGTCACAACCAAATCAGAAAACAGAGGGTCAAGAGGCACAAGGAAGCAAGCTAAGAGCGGAATCGGCATCGGCCGCAAATACTACCTATCACCAGCACCAGCACCCGGCTAGCGTCAAAACGCTTCTTGTGCTCAACATCCTTTCCATTGCAAATGAGAGGAGCAATCCAGGCAGCAACAGAAACAACGACAAAAGCAACAACGCAAATGGCAATGACAAGGGCATCAACGACAAGAGACTGCGGCCACCCGTCCACCCACAGCATTCCAGGTCCTCAAATGCCAACATCCTCGGCTGCAGCGCTGACAACCCATTCTTGCCAGATTCTGTGCCCACGGTCTCGCGTCCATAAGCCCGAAAAACCAAAAGCCCCAAGCCCAAAGTCTCTCCGATTCGGCCGAGGAGACATGCAGGAGCAACGGATAGCCCAAAACATCATGTGTCTTGGCAGAGTAGTGCACAGCGCACTTCTAATGTCGGGAAGACTAAGCCTGTACTATAGAAGACTCAATAGCTCGTACCTAACACCAATCTTTGGGGTTCCTTATTTTGCATATTCTAGAACGTATGCCCCAGAACTATCGAAATTATTCAGGTCCCCTGTTATGAACCTCTTTTCAATTTTCAAAACCGAGAGGCTGCCATGGCGGGGGCTTTGCTTTTGTGGTTTGTTGCTAAGTCGTTGTCGTCGTTCTTGTCATCATTAATGTAGGGGCCTAGATAATTACCAATACTATTTTGGGGGGCTCCCTATCATCACTATAGTATAATATTCCCCAAAACTCTATTGTAATTATTAAGGCCCCTACACTACGCTTGGTTTGGGTTGCGGTTATGGCGCTTGTGGCTGTGATTGCTTTTGTTACTGCTTTGCTTTGTGCTTCTGGTCGTGGCCGTCGGCTTTGGAGTAACCGTACTTGTAGGCAGAGCAGACCAAGGAGGAGCAGGAGCAGGAGGAGCAAAGTTTTCGCTCAGAAAGTATCAGGGATATCGTCGCAAGTTAACGCAGCGCCTTTAATCCTAACGCTTGAAATCGCAAAAAAAAACCGAATAGCCCGGTTGTTCTCGGTCCCCGTAGGACATTGTTTTGGGTACTGTCGGAAAGGCTCTTTCTCTGCCCAGGGGAGGCCCGGCGCTCCACAGCTTCTCGAGCGCGCATGGACAGACTTCAAAGAAAGCCCTCCGCCCTGTCCAACCCAAAGGGTCCAAGTACTTATATGGTAGCTACTTTGTAGGTATTTGGGCCCCCCAAAGTATATGCTATACTATAACTTGGACCTTTCGGGCAATGGCTTATTTGTATCGCCACCAAAGTAGACAGGGTCAACAAAAAGGTCTTCTCTCCCACGCACGGGTTTTTCTTCTACCCCGCCGCGTGGCGATGACCAAAAATTAAAGGACCGGATAGCCCCGCATGCGAATTTTAATGAAACGGTAAGACAAGGGAGTGCCTCTCACGGCATTCCGCCTTCCTGCCCTTCGCTTGGGTGTCCCGCCCTTCGCAGGCTCTCTGCCTTACTCTCCCTGCCCTGCGCCACCAAGTGATGGGGCGTGAATCGCCAAATGAGGGTGCGTGTTTAAGATATCTGTTGAAACGGAATCAAAACATGCGGGGCCGTGTTTAAGATAAAGAATTTGCACCGGAATCGCCAAATGAGAGGGTAGTCTAATTCAGTTATGTGATGAAACGGCCAATTGAGGGGGCGTGTTTCAGATATATGATGAAACGGAATCGCCAAATGAGGGGGCGTGTTTAAGATGTATGATGAATTTTGAGCCGCTCCACCTAGGGGGCATGTTCAAGATATATGATGAACCGGAATCGCCAAATGAGGGGCGTGTTTACGGCAAAGGCGAAAACAAATATATATATATATATATATGTTGCATATATATGATGATGATGATGATGATGATGATGATGATGATGATGATGACGATGATGGTGATGATGATGATGATGCAGTGGCGCAGTAACCACAGCAATTGTAGTAGCAGTCGCGTACTAGTAATAGTGGCAATAGGAGTAGTTGTAGAAGTAGTAGTAGTAGTAGAAGTAGTAGTAGTAGTAGTAGTAGTAGTAGTAGCAGTAGTGGTGGTGGTCGTAGCAGTAGTAGTAGCAGCAGGAGTAGTAGTAGCAGTAGTAGCAGTAGTAGTAGTAGTAGTAGTAGTAGTAGTAGTAGTAGTAGTAGTATATCGAACCCGACTTGGCGTTCACCTTCTGGATAAAGACTCTATAACTCTAAGCCCTCAACCCCCAA